GCTTGTCTCACGGGTCCAGTATCGTGTTTTATCTCTCTTACAATGTTAATTATAGGGGTTTTTTTTCAAGAGTTCTGTGCGAATGATCTGTATTTGACCCAGAGTTCTGTTTCTTTGTTTAATTGACTGATTTGGCCTGTGTCTTGTATGCTAGAGACCTTACTCAGCTATGTGGGCATTTCTGGGTCTCTGCTGATTTTTAAAAGCAGGGAACCCACACAGTTAGTTGTAGAGGGATTTGAGAAGGGGCAAAAGCAGCATGTGTGTTTAATCCGTCATCTTTATACCACCATACATTTATTTTATAATATGAAAAAGTGAAAAACCGTGGTCTACACTAGTGATGGCGAACCTTTTGAGCTCGGCGTGTCAGCATTTTGAAAAACCCTAACTGAACTCTGGTGCCGTGTCACATATAGACATATTTTGATATTTGCAACCATAGTAAAACAAAGACTTATATTTTTGATATTTATTTTATATATTTAAATACCATTTAACAAAGAAAAATCAACCAAAAAAAATGAGTTCTCGTGTCACCTCTGACACGCGTGTCATAGGTTCGCCATCACTGGTCTACACCCTAATGATAAATGAATAAGCATAATAACCAACCACCCCCCCCCCAAAAAAATAAAAACTACGCCTTTTCCTTCTTAGCCCTTAATGAAAAACAAGAAACTATTTTCTCCAAAAATTCTCAATTGTAAAAAAATAGCATGAAATTTGTATGTGAATTTGTGACAAGTGTAAACCACTCTAAAATTGTGAATAGGTTCGGATATAATTCCTGCCTCCTCCCCACTCCCACAGTATGAATCACCAGGCCTGCTCTCTCGCTCACCACTTCCTGCTTGGCGAGTTGCATGTGTGTCTTACCTCTATGACGAGGCCCCACATCACGGGAGTGTAGGGTGTGCGTCCGATTCATCTCGGCATCTTCTAGAGCAGCGGCCGCCAACCTTTCGGACCTCACGGACCAGCAGGGGTCCACGGACCACGGTTGGCCACCGCTGCTCTAGAGCCCCCTCCCGAGGACAGATTGGTGGAGTGTTACATTCTCTCCTCGGCACACATAGTGAGCACCCGTCGGATTTTATATGGTGAACGAAAAAGAAACCCAAAAGGACAGAAAGGGAACTGAGAGAACAATGAAGCAGTAAATCGAACATCAACCTTAGAAAGAGACAGATCACTTGCTGCCGTAGCTTCATTCCACTTTGAGCTCTGCTGACATTGAGCGCACTTCCTCTGGGCTGAGCACTGTGGAGTATTTTCCTTAACCCTCCCATCGGCAGATAAGGAAACCGGCCACAGAAAGGTGAAGTCCCTTGCCCACAGCCACGGAATTACTTAAGGTGGAGCTGGGGCTTGAAGCCAGGTGAGCCGAGCCCTAGAATAGCTGCTCACCTCCTCCCCACCCACCGTCCCCACCTCCCATTCTGACCCAAGACTTCTTCCAAGAAATGCACTTGATGAACTGATGCCCGGCTCTGACTCTGCAGCATGTGTTTGCGTGCGGCTGGCTTGTGGCAGGGAGCTGTCTTTAAGTCTTCCTGCTTCTGGGCCCCCGCACGAGGCTGTCCCTGAGTCTGGTGGTCTCCCAGGCTCCGAAGTCCACCCCTCCAGGGAGGGAGGTCCCCTCACACCTCGGCACAGGCCCTGCAAGCCAGGGTCAGCCACCGTCCCTCCCAGCCCAGAGCAGGCTGGGAGTGGAGGGGACTGTGGTGGCCTGAGGGCCTGGCAGAGCCCTGGGCTGTGGGGAATGGGATGAGCAGGGCAGCTGCCCCTCCAAAACCATGTCAGAGCTGGGATAGGGCTGGCACCTCAAGTCAGGGGAAGGGCGCACTCCAACTTGGGGATCATAGTCAGGTACCGCCAGCCGGCGTGGATCAGTGGTTGAGCATCAGACCTACGAACCAGGAGGTCACAGTTTGATGCCTGGTCAGGGCACATGCCCAAGTTGCAGGCTCAATCCCTGGTGTGGGGCCTGCAGGAGGCAGCCAATCAATGATTCTTTCTCATCATTGATGCTTGTATCTCTCTCTCTCCCTCTCTATTCCTCTCTGAAATCAATAAAAATATATTATATATATAAAAAAAGTCGGGTATCACCTGTCCACATTGCTCCAGTGTGACCAGATGAGTAGGGACAGGCCCCATCCCGGGGAAATGAGGCAGCTGGCAGGAGCAGCAGCCAGGGTGCCCTCAGGGTCGCTGTAGAACCTCGTGGGCAGTGAGTGGAGCAGGTGGGAGAGGGCAGGTAAGGGGTGTCACCAGTGAGCTTTGGGGAGGAGATGTCTGCTCTTCAGAGGTCCCTGGGGTTCCAGGCTTGCATGCCCTGTGAGGACAGCCCTGGAAAGGCTAATGCCACCACTCTCCGGGGCTGGTGCTGGACTCAAGTTAGGGCCGAACCGCCCACTGATGCTCTCACTGGGCGCTGCCAGGGCCAGGCTCCTGGGGGCGAGGAAGGCTGCACCTGCTTTGCCCCGGCTACCCCACCTCTGTGTCCCACCTTTTTAAACGTCCCGCTCACCACCCACAGACCACTCTCCCCAGCAAGCCATGTCATTTTGTCACTCATCTGCTCAGGAACCAAATCTTTAAGACAAAATCCAAACCTGCCAGCCTAGAATTCAAGGCCTTCCAAATGCAGACCCCTGGTCTCCAAGGCCACCTCATCGCCTGCAACGGGCGCCCAGATCTTGCTAAAACCTCCTCCCCAGGGCGCACAGCAGTTGCTTCTGCCTCTCTCATGCTGGGGGGAGCGGGGCAAAGGGCATGGGCTTTGCCCTGACCGGTTTGGCTCAGTGGATAGAGCGTCGGCCTGCGGACTGAAGGGTCCTGGGTTCGATTCTGGTCAAGGGCACATGCCTTGGTTGCGGGCACATCCCCAGTAGGAGGTGTGCAGGAGGCAGCTGATCGATGTTTCTCTCTCATCGATGTTTCTAGCTCTCTATCCCTCTCCCTTCCGTTCTGTAAAAAAACCAATAAAATATATTTTTTTTTAAAAAGAGCATGGGCTCTGCTTTGGTTACTTCCTGTGTGTCCTCGGGCAAGTCACCCGGTGTTTCTGTGCTCCCAGTTACTTCCCCGTGAAAATACACAGGCCCTACCGGTGTGGCTCGGTGGATGAGCATCGACCTGTGAGCCAGGAGGTCACGGTTGGAGTCCCCGTCAGGTCACATGCCCGGGTTGCAGGCTCAATCCTCAGTTGGGGGCGTGCAGGAGACAGCTGGTCAATGATTCTCTCTCATCACTGATGTTCCTCTCTCTCCCTCTCCCTTCCTCTCTCTGAAATCAGTAAAAACCTATTTTTAGAAAATATTTTACAGGATGTGGTGAGAATTGGAGTGTTTGTATGCCAAGTGCCAGTCGCATGGTAGGTTGTGCTGCCTGACTCCCACTAGGACAGGAGGAGTGGATAAATGGTGTCGGTCACTCTGTCCCTTTGGGTCCCCGACTCACGTGCCCACCATCTTCCTTCTGACCAGCGGAGCTCTGCCTCCTCCAGGCCACCTGCAGATGCACCAGTACTTGCAGCCTGCCCTGCGCACCTGCCCTAGGGGAGAGGGAGGAAAAGCAACATTTGCCGATGATCCACCTGGCCCCAGGCCCTACGGAGGCAGGGAGAGCACAGGCCATAGTAGCTCACACTCTCTGGAGGCCTCCCTCCGCCGGACCCTGTCCCCAGCTCACCACGGCCACGTGCATTGATAGACCCATGTGTGTGCCTTAGTAACTCCGTCTGCAGATCAGAGTTCCAGAGTAGCTTTCCACTCCATCCACCCGGGTTGGTGTGGACTCCCATCCGGTGGCCACCCAGAGGCTGGTGGGGAGATTTTATGGAGGAGTGATGTCCCTGCAGGACAAAATGCAGGGCCCCTGTGTGTCATTCAGGCAGATCCTGTTGGAGAACATTTTGCGAAAGGACCCATGTCTGCCTGCCCTGGCTGCCCCTGGTGCAGCCAGCCCCTCACTCGAGTCAGCCCCTGGGCTTTCCGAAGGCCCTCAGTCCACCTGGAACCCTCCCCGGCCTGCCCGGGACAGAAGCCTTTGACTAACCCTCCTGCGTTTGGGGCCGAGGTCACTGGCCTTTCCCTCCTGTCTCCAGGGGCCTCCTCTACTCCCGTACTGAGTTCCTGCAAATGTCTGCATTTTCCACAGGCCCCTCCCCTGGGCTGAGAGCCCTGAGGCAAAGGACGAGTCCTGTTGATTCTGTATTTCAGCACTTGGCACAGAGCCGGACAGCAGGGGGCCTTGGAGTTTGGGGGTGGAGGGAGGGAAGGAGGGGGGGAGGAAAAGGATGGGTGGACTGGGCACTGGGCAGAGGGGATGGTGTGACTTGTTTCCAGTTGGCTCCTTCCGGGCGGGGCAGCCATGACCTCGGAGGT